GCTCTAAGGAGGGAAATACCTGGAGGTTTGGGGGGTGGATTCTGTAGAGGGCCGGGCGACGGAGGCATCGGCCTTCTGTCGCCCGCCTTGCCCCCCCAATCTCGGCCATACCATACTAGTAGCCAGTAGTAATGGGAGAATTGATTCCGAGAGCTGTTGAACCATGAAGCTCACTGATGGCTGTTAGTAGTTCCTTATCTTTTGATTTTAATATAACTCACTCATTCTGAGATAATTCACATGTGAATATAAATCAATTAAAACTCACTTTATGTTTTTTGTTATATGTGTTTAGCAGTCAAACCACTGAACCCCACTAAATTTCTAAAGATTTGTGAAAGAAACACTTAGTGCTACACAAAAGTAAAGAACGATTGTGTGGGTAGTTTGTACTCACGCAGTGGTGGTTTGCACATCATGCCAGCTTTTGCTAAAGTTCTGTTTCAGTTCATTCATCAAGTTGATACCAAGTTTTTGTTTTATTTCCACAAGATGCTTCTCTTTGGCTACTAACACTTGTCGTAAAGTTGAGATTTCATCTTCTAGCTGAAGAGAATTAAACAACAGCAGCATTATTTTCAAGCATTAGTTTAGTATCAGATGTAATAACAAGTTAGTTTGGGGGATCCTAGATTTGTATGTTGCATCAGGCTTCCTCCCTGTTCCCCTTATACACAAATTGAAAACTCACTGTTAGAACTTTGGCACCCACTACTCAATTATATATAAGGAGAGATGGTAAGAAAAGCCTCATCATACTATTACCTATTTTAAATGTCTTGGAAGGTCATCTGGACCCCTTGTCTGGTAAGTCCAGGGTTATCACTTATCTAAACCTGGTCACCCTTCCAATCTCTCTCTTCCAACTCCCACCTGTTATGGGTTTCTATACATGCAGTAGCCGGTCTGGTTTTGTTCGTTTCCTTGCACTTGTCATAAGGTCATTACTAGACCAAGGGCCTGATGCAGTTAGCTTCATGCGTCCATATGAATTTGAATCAGAAACAGCTCCAAGGGCTGGCAGTCTGTTTCTGAGTTCACTGGTTATGACCAGTTTGGTGTAGTGGTTAAGAGCGGTATCAGGACTGACTGTAAGAGTGGTTGAGCAGTGGAACAGACTGCCTCTGGAGGTAGTGGATACTCCTTCGCCTCTGTCCCTTGGTCCCTGACTGTCTGTGTAGTCTGAAAGAGGCAGGAGGCAGTGGTACCCAGTTTGGTGTAGTGGTTAGGAGTGCGGACTCTAATCTGGGAGAACGAAGTTTGATTCTCCCACTCCTCCATGTGCAGCTGCTGGTGTGACCTTGGGTCAGTTACAAGTTATTTCAGAGCTGTTCTCTCAAGGGCAGTCCTCAAAAAAGCTCTCTCAGCCCCACCTACCTCACAGGGTGTCTGTTGGGGGGAGGGGAAGGGAAAGGAGATTGTAAGCCGTGCTGAGACTCCTCCGGGTATAAATCCAAGATCCCCTTATCTTCTTCTTCTTCTACCCTGGGGTGTGAGTACTCACACTTCAGCCTTTTTGGTTTTTTCTTGGTTGATCTGCCCCCTCTAAGGGATCCTGGTTCTGAGGTCCCTTGCCAAGAGGAGGCCCCTTCCTTGGAGATCTTCAGGAGGCACCAGTTTGGTGTAGTGGTTCAGTGCGCGGACTCTAATCTGGGAGAACTGGGTTTGATTCCCCACTCCTCCACTTGCACCTGGCTGGATGACCTTGGGCAAGCCGTAGATCTGATAAGAGCT